ATGATTAAAGAGACAAGAGAACAGCCAGTAAAAATAAGAACAAATACACCAATTACAAGCATAGATAAATACAAAAGAATATGTTACAAATAAAATAAGGCTGGTAGTATTCAAATACAGAAATGTAATTAGGGAAAATAACACTGCAGAGGGTTCACTGCATAAATTAAATATAGCTTTTTATCACAGCTGTTTTGTTGTTTGATGATAATTAATGACAGCAGCAGTATTTATAGGCCGCTGTGCCTTTAAGACCTGATGCACGGATCCGATATAATGATACACATCACATCCGATTTCTTTCTCAGCTGTTTTCATTCACTTGAGACAGAACTGACTGCGTTTACCTGAATGATTGTCGAGATGATTATTCTGTCATAATTTTATGTGTCTGTTCAGAGGATTCAGCTCGGTGCTCGCGAGCCGTCTGAAACGCCTGTGTGGGGCTGTGCGCGAAGAGAACAGCGCCCGAGTAATCGAGTTCCCTTTCGCCTTTTCTCTCTGGAATTGTTTAAAATTTGCGTGCTTGTGTAAATACGAACAAATGATAAACTTATACTCTTATGGTTACATTTTGCAATTAATCCGCGGACCACGTGCGTGCCGAACCGTGGGGCTTGGTCCGTACGGATCACGGATCAACTACGATCCGTTTAACCACTACTCCCTTCTGGTTGTTCTTGATCGAGGCTCAGTTTGTAGTTATAAGTTAAGTCTCACGGGAGGCAATTGTAACAATAAAATCAAAACTAACAAAGCAAGTGCAAGCATTCTAATATTAAAGCATATATGGCGTGAACATTAAAACAAGCAAATAACATAACATTGAAAGAGGTAAATAGCAATATCAGTATTTAAAACAGTTCTTATATTCTAGATGTGCTAATACCCATCCTGACTGAAACTTTACTGTCATCTAATGGACTGCACAATGTCATGTGCATATTTCTAATAATTTCTTTGAAGATCTGTTCACAAGATATCAGACGATATTTTAAGAGACATGCATTGTAATCAATACAAATTTCATTATTGTGATTTTTTTTTTATTAACCTGGTAATGATTATATAAATTGTTTTTAAAGGTCAGTTCTTAGATCTTTATGTGGGTCACCTTTTTTGTCAGCTAAACCCCTTACCCTCTTAATAATAAAGGTTCTTTATTGGCATCTATGGTTCAAAACATTTAACATTCATGGAACCTTTTCATGCACAAAAGTTTTTTTAAATATATATATATATATATAGTGGAAGAAGGTTCTTTAGATTATTAAAATTTTATTTACACTAAAACATAATGGTTTTTTGAAGAGCTGTTCACTGAAGGTTCTGAAAGACTAAAGTGGTTCTTCTATGGCATCACTGCAAAAACCCGTTTTGGAACCATATTTACTTGGAAAAACCCTCTAAGATTTTAATTTATTATTTCAATAGCACATTTGGATGTTCAGGGTTCTGTATTGTCACTAGTGTTTAAGGAAATCCATCAAATTGAATATAATAATATTAATAATAAACTCTATGCAAAAAAAATTAACACAGAAGTATATTACAGTTATAAATCAATTGTACTGTAAAATTAAAATGAATATTTGATGATAATTATAATTGTATTTTACAATGAAATTTAAGTAATATTTATGTATTAAATTCATCACTTTCAAACATTCAAACCATTCAGCTTTTTGTGAAATACTGGTGAAATATTGTAAATATATGTCAACAAAAATGTTGAAAACGTACAGTGGGTACGGAAAGTATTCAGACCCCCTTAAATTTTTCACTCTTTGTTATATTGCAGCCATTTGCTAAAATCATTTAAGTTAATTTTTTTTCCTCATTAATGTACACACAGCACCCCATATTGACAGAAAAACACAGAATTGTTGACATTTTTGCAAATTTATTAAAAAAGAAAAACTGAAAAATGCTCAGTATTTAGTAGAAGCACCCATTTGATCTAATACAGCCATGAGTCTTATTGGGAAAGATGCAACAAGTTTTTCACACATGGATTTGGGGATCCTCTGCCATTCCCTCTTGCAGCTGTGTGTACATTAATGAGGAAAAAAAATTAACTTAAATGATTTTAGCAAATGGCTGCAATATAACAAAGAGTGAAAAATTTAAGGGGGTCTGAATACTTTCCGTACCCACTGTATGTGGATTGGGACAGCAGTGTTGGGGGTAACGCCAGTCACTTTGTTTCCCATGTATTGACCGACAGCTCTCATATTGCCATGTTAAGAGAAATCGGGAGTAAGTGCAGAGGCGTTGTGTGCGCTGTGTGAACATGATGCTTACTGTAGTTCTAGACTACATTATATGAACATGTATTTACTCTCACCTGCACAAAAACAGATTCAGTATTCCACAAAATGAATAAAAACAGTCAGATGCAAACTCAGAATATTATACAAACCTGCAAAAATTAAATATGAGACAAATATAATTTATGTATTTAATCCCATTTTATTAACCAATGTCTTTGTTACTGACTTTGCCACTAAGCAAAAATTACACATTTGTGTTTCATTTTTGTTATTGCTGAATAGTGTTGAACTTTCTTCTTCTGCATCATACTCTTAATGCACTTTGTTTGAGCTGTGCCCTATACTGTACAGACATGAATTTACATTTCCTTCAGCCTGAGGCGTATTCATTTCACTTTTGGTGTGAAAGGGCTTTTGCATTTGTAAAAGAAGACAAAAACAAGCAAGCAAGCCTTGCACAGATTTAAAAATTAAGTCAAAAGTACACTATCTTATATCGTGGTTTTAATTTTATTTCGAATAATTAATTATGCAGGATTATTTATCTATTTTAAATTTTAAATTCGATTTGAATAGCCTATCAGCTTTTCATCTGTAGCTCAAACAGTACCAATGCCAAGGCCATAGTTTGAATTCCCAAGAACAGTATGAACTGATAAAATGTGCAAGTTGAAAGCAATATTATTCGCTTGGGATGCGTAAATGTTCATGTTAAAAAAAAAAAACTTGCCAACTCCTGCATGCGTTTCGGAAACCTACATTACGGTATTCAAATTTTCTTCTACTGCGCGCGTAATCCTGACACACCGGTAATGACAGAAGAGGGAAACCAGCGCCCGCATAATTCGATTGGCCGATTCGGCTTGAATAGAGTTGACATGACGTCATCGTGAATATAGCGGTGTAGCAGAGCGTGTTCGCCCATACTGTAATTCACACAGCGCACGCGACGACGCTCCCTTCGCTCCATCCTCAAACACTGCAGTCATGGTAAGTACATTATCATAGCCAGCATCTTTCATTTTCACTATAATGCAGGTAATGCCTATTAATCATACAGCCAGTAGGTTTACCGATGTGACCGTTAGATAACGTTGATCAATCAACAAGGTATAAGCCATCAAGCTCTGCTGTCAGTCCCAATATCTCATGCGTTCAATATTCAAATGTGCTTTAGTCTGCACTGAGTGTTTAATTTTGTAGGATAATCTTAGTGTCCTTTATTGGAATATCAAACCAATGCATCTTCTGTTTTAACGCTGATCTTCTCTATCGCCCTCATTATCCTGGCATGGACAGTCTGACTTCACTGAAGATCAGATTTGTGGTGAGTAATAAATGTTGACTATTTAATTGTTATAATGCTATGAATTCGTCGAGTTTATATAGTTGCGTTTGTGTTGATGCAAAATAAACGTAGGCCCATACATCAGTTGCACTGGCTGACAGATGTGCAGTTAATGCTTAGTTCTCAGAAGAACACACGATATGGTGTGTGCATGCTGTGCTGTGCTGTACCTAATGTTCAAATGTAACGCATAAAAATAGACAGGAGGTTTCTTTTATGTATCAGTTTCTAGTGCTGAAACGCTGAGGTTTAAGTGCAGGCAGTTTCCAGATGCGTCGCGTTTGAAAACACCGGAAGCTGTTGCAGTGGAATGTGTAGCTAGAGACATAGCTAAGGAACATGAAAATTGTTTGGATGTGAATTCAAGAAAATAGTAATAGAATATGATTTTTTATTTTTTAAATAAATTTTTTTTTTTACATTTGTTTTAAAATTAAACAAGCTGAAGTGACGTAGTATCATGGCGTACTTTTTCTGATGGTAGAAGCAGCACAAGCTTCTTTAGTGATCACAGAACAGTGCTGCGGATTTGATTCAACTCACTGACTCGAATCTTTTAAATCAGTTCACTGAAAATATTCGCTCACTGACCCCTTTGCAGGTTACATTGTTATGCCCGCAGATATGGTAAAATTATCTATGGTATTTTAGCCAGTACCTGGCGACATACAGTATATCTTTTGTGTTATGAGTGAGTCATTAAATCATTCACCCAACCGATTTGTAAACCTCTTTACCATATAGTTACAGTATTTTGATTATGAATAAATGAATGAATGAATGAATGCATGCATGGATAAACCATACACAATAAGATCAATAACATGCATTTATTATTAAATGAAATAGATTTCATTTCATTTTATTCATGAGTCGTTCATAAGCGAAACAAGTCATATTGCACTTTATTAAAATGTTTGTGTTTTCAAATCTACTGATAGACTTCAGAAATTTAGTGTTTAGGCATCATTCCTCCTCACAAGTAACACATCAAATTTATCACTCCTCTGTTATGAACTGCTGTGCTTGAATTTTATCAGGCTAAAAAAAACAACAATAACATCAAAGATGTTCAATTACATTTTACTTCACTAAATTGTGTATGTTCTTTGGTCTTTTAAACATTTTTTTAATTCTTTTGTTGGTCTGTTATGTAGTATTCCTCTTTGTTTATGAAAAACTCACACTAGACAGTAGAGTACATAGTGTATAGTGAGTCATTTGGGACACAACTAATATTCCTATTGATGTCGTGCTTGTTCTCTCTTCTGCCCATATATGGTTAATCACAGTAAGAGTGTGTGTGTGAAGTTTGACTCAGGGCGGCCCGGGAAGCATTGCATTCCTGTAAGCTGCTCTGCCAAGCACTATGATAGTGATCTCAAAGCCTCAAGCAAGAACAAATAGCCTAATGATTTTAGATCAAAATGTGCTTGTTGTTTTAGAATAAATCACAAGAATTTTTACTCATTGTCATTTTCATTTTCAGTCCACATAACTACAGATAATTTTCTACATCACCTGCCTAGAGCATTTAAGCATATTTTCTCTCACTAACAGAGTTTAAGGAGGCCTTCCTCCTGTTTGACCGAACAGGAGATGGGAAGATCATGTACAGTCAGTGTGGGGATGTGATGCGTGCTCTGGGGCAAAACCCTGTCAATGCTGAGGTCCTCAAAGTCCTGGGCAACCCCAGTAATGAAGGTCTGGCCTTTCTTTTGCTGTTATGATTCAAGCATGCCTGGTCCTGTATGATTTGCTAAAAATGTGCATTTTTAGCAAGCAGGAAATCATTTTAAGTTACAATGTTTGAAAGCTTTGTCCTCTTCATTTAAAGGGATAGTTCACTCAAAAAGAAAAAAAGTCACCCTCATGTTTATTCACCCTCAGGTTGTTCCAAACCTGTATGACTCTGTCACTTCCCCTGATCACTAAGCTGTACTTGTTTACATTCTGTCAGACAAAAGCAGTTTCTCATTTAATCAGTCTAAATGCACTCAGACCCACTTCAAAAAGTCCCACTGATTTAATCTAGATATGTCTTTATTCTCCACACTTGTAATTATAAAGTGATTATTTTCTTCCTTAATTCCCAGTGGGTTAAGGTGAATAAAAGTAGTGATTTTTAATGTCCATTCTCTCAGATATGAACATGAAAATGCTGGACTTTGAGCAGTTCCTGCCCATGCTGCAAGCCATCGCTAAGAACAAGGATCAGGGTTCCTTTGAGGACTTCGTGGAGGGACTGCGGGTATTTGACAAAGAGGGAAATGGAACGGTGATGGGTGCCGAGCTTCGACATGTCCTTACTACACTGGGTAAAGAGTCACGGCCTCTTATAGAACGATTTTACAGTAGAGTACAATACTATCTTTCTTTGATTATTTTCAAGGTTTTTTCTACTTAGGAAGCATCTTAGGATGTTTTTTTCTGCTATTGTCACCTTTAACTGAGAATGCTACTCTTTCTAAAGCTGCTTTTATAAAGGGTAATTATTACGGAAATAATACGCTTTAAAAGAATTTGCTTAAGTACAATCTGAATGTAATGTTTTTAGACACTTAATTGGATTTTATTTAAATGAAAATGTATTATAGCTTAAATTTATATTAAGTGCAATTAGCTGAACTTTAGAGTGCTTTATTTGACCCACTTAAGTAGGTGTTATTACTTCTATTGTCTTTAAAACATGGTTAATGTGTGCTGCTGAATGTACTGACAAGCATTTATGGTAAACTAAAATATGTCATTTCTGTTGAAACATTTGTAATGATGAAGTTGCAAATTAGTACATTTAAAATATATTAACTTAAAATGTAGTACAGAATAAAACACTACAGTTAAAATTATGAAGTACTTTACATGTACTTTAGTATGTTAGTCAACATATCAAATAAGTGTACTTCTGTAATTCTTGATTTAAAATGTACCTTAATTTGACATTATTAAAAGCATACTTAAGTGTTAAAGATTTGAAGTATACTTAAGTGGCCTTTTATTTCATTAACATTATATTATCTGTAAGTACTTTTTTGTAATATATTTTTAAGTGCACATTCAATACAATTAAGCACACTTTGTTTTCGTTACTAAAAATATACTCACTCAAGTCTGATTTGGTGCGTTTTTAGTGCTTTTAACTAACAAGTAAAATATTTAGAAATTAAACCCACAGATATTTTTAAATCCTAAAATTGAATTTGTATCAAATGAAACTTTTTGTTGGATAAAATATCAGTCCTTTCAATCCCAGAGAGATTGACCACCAACAAAGAACTAAAAGCACCTTGCGGTTGTTTTCATTAGAATTTAATGCATTTTGCCCGTGTTTTACGATAGGTGAGAAGATGACAGAGGAAGAGGTGGAGACGCTCTTGGCAGGACATGAGGACGCTAATGGGTGCATCAATTATGAAGGTACAACAATCACATATGGGCCTTTTTTCTTCTCTGAACATCAAGACTACAGTAGAAGTTTTGAAGTCCGTATGTAATCCATTTGCATTTCCTTCCGACAGCATTTGTGCGCCACATTATGGCTGGTTGAGGAGAGGGTACGGATGGTCCTCAGTTTGTTTTTACTCATTCTTGACTCCTTCAGCTCCCTCTCTACTGCGTCCCCTGGCTGTAGCGTAGCATGTAGCATTTCTGCATGTGCATAGGCGTCTCCTGAATCCCACTGTTGCCATAATGATGCTAAATTTGCTGGTCACCCTGATGTCAACTTCCCCCGAAACAACCCATTACCCTTTATTCTAAAATACAGTGTTATAACTTCAATATTGTATATTCTCATCCCTTTTGCTTGCATTAGTTCTAATAGGCCACATACACACTGCAGCAAAAAACAGTTATCAATCCACTTAATATGCTCTGTACAAAGATCTTGGTCATTTACGTGAATGATAACTAATTCATTTCTGCTTTTAAATGTGATAGTCACTCCTAAATCTCTGCAGTGTGTATGCAGCCACAGAATATATGGCAGCTGATGGTATTGTGAAAGAAAAATTACTGTTAGCAATAGCATCATATTAAAGGTTAAAATGGTGCTAGTGTAGTAGATTTGGGCTTAATAGTTAAAAATACAAATTTTTCGATTTTAGTCAATTTCTCAATTTGAGAATCAATCTTTTAGTCAATGCTGTTTTTAGTTGATGTGTGAACATATCATCTACTGTGGAAAGATATCAATAAAACAGCTTGTAAACAATATGTAATGTAATGTTACATTTGTCTCTGAAAAGCCATTTGACCATTGATCAAGTTATTGACCTTTAATAGTAATGTACCAACTGACAGGCTTCCCTGTATAGCTTACAGCATTAGTTATGAAAGGTGTTTTTCTTGAGGAAAAATTGACATGCACTGTACCTGATATACCCAAATGAATCAACATCAAATTGAATTTATTCAAGACTGTTATTAAATCAAATTGCAAGCTTGTGAGTCATAATCGTAATCAAATCGTGGAAATTGTGTAAACACCCAGCCCTATCCTTTATTTTTGAAATTCTGCTGTTACCTTAGGAGGCTTTGTAAAGAGGTGTATTGTTAATTCTAGTTTCCAGTCCTGTCACATTGCTGTTCCTGCTTTCTATCTCTTTTGTACTTGTGTATTTATTTGTTCTCCACATGCCTATGTAAGGTATGCTAACTCATTCAAATTTCCTTTAGGCCTGGACAATCTCTTTTTCCTCCCCTTTTCATTCAAATCATCCCAGGGCTTCTGCATTTCACCTCCTGTTGTTGCCAGGAAATGTTACTGAACTACAAATGCAGTCTGTTGTTTTAGTGCGATCTGTGGCTGTTTATGGATCTGGAATTTCTAGAACTTAATGTGTTGTGTCCATGGCAACATTTGCTGATCTACTGGGTCGAATTTTCTTGGATCACTGCCTCATACTACTTTTTTTTTCTCTCTTTTACAGAACTCGTAAGGATGGTCATGAGCGGTTGAAGAGTTCAGACACGTTTATTTCATTTTTGTCCGTCAGGCCCACCATTTATGTGATTCTTCATTTCCATATTAGCTTTTTTAATTATTTGATCTTTTTTTCCCCTTAAGTGCCTTTTATCATGTTTTTGGAGAATTATGGCTCAATTCATTCCAAAAACGTCCACTGGTGTTCATAGGTTTGCTTGAATACCTTTCAGCCATTACATTCATTCCATCAGTTATTGTATTCAGCCCCTATTCGTCTTAAACTGTGAGGGACATTTTGATTGGCTCTTACTGTAGTTTTAAAAAAAAAAATTAACCTATTGTCTAAATGTTTGTTAGTCATTTGACATCCCTCTGTATTGTCTGCTGTGCATCATAATAAATATTCAGAATGATCTTTGATTTTGTTGATTTGTCTTTATGTCAGAGCTGTGAGTGTGGGTGTATGTGTGGGAGAGTATGGGTTGCCTTGTAGGGCATTGTTGTACCAATCATTTCCATTTTAGTATAGTTAACTCTCTCCCAATAAACATAATACAAGACCATACCAATTTAGGAGTATGTGAAGGTGCTTGAATGTGTTGGCTGGGGAACCTGGTGCTGCCAATATGTTTTAGTGGTCCTGTGTTTACCTTATAAGACAAGTGGACTCGCTAAAAAAAAACTAAAGAAAAGGACTGTTTAGACTTCAGTGGTATGTATAATAACACCTTGTGATTCTAACAATATAGTCATCTGTCGTTATTGTTAAGACCTGTTCATACCATACCATATAATGATAATATGGAAGCCTGTTTCAGCCACAACTCAGAATTCTGACATTTTCTCGCAATTCTAAATTTACATGTAACAATTCTTAGTTTTTACACAATGTAATTCTGACATTTTTTCACAGAATTAAGAGTTTACATCTCACAATTCTGACTTGTTTCTCACAAATGCGAGTTTATATCTTGCAATTCTGAGAAAAAAGTCAGATGTGAGATAAAAGGTTGATAAACCATGATGATTGATGATAGATGATAAAATCATTGACAACCAATCAGAACGATCTTGAGCCTTTAAAGCAGCAGTTGAAACGGCAAATAATAATAATAACTTTTAACATGTGCTAGTGTGGATGCTAATATAGTTTTATCATGTGCTGGTGTGGATGCTAATATAGTTAGTATAATATCAGTGGTGGCCAAAATTATTAGAACACTTGGCATATTTAAGAGGTTTGAGTTGTTTTTGTTGAATTGGCCATTACAGTACCCATAAAACAAACTATTACCGGAACTATCTGCAATGGAAGGAATCTGCTGGAACATTGAAAATGATGGACTGTCACCCTCAAAGTCCGGACCTCAACCCCATCGAGCAAATTTGGGGCGAGTTGGAAAATAAACTGGACAGATCTATTGTACATTCAAAGGAAAGCCTTTGGCTTGAGTTGCAGAAGGCATGGGATAACATTAGTGTTGAAGTTCTCGGGAAATATATTGACACTGTGCCAGAGAGATGTGCTGCTGTAATTGCTGCAAAAGGTGGACATACCAAATAATATTAAAGTTAGAAGTGGATAAAAACAGTACGACTCACTTTATCTGTTATTTGTTGTGCTCAGAGCAGCCATCTGCATGTTTCATGAACATTATGAAATTAAATCATGTTTTGGAGGCAAAAAAAGTCAATGTTTTCAGATCTGTCAGGTGTTCTAATAATTTTGGGCACCACTGTATATTTTTTTAAAGTCTGAAAGATAAGTATTGCCAACTAGTGAATGAATGATAATACTGATTAAGATGTTATTTGCTGATAATTCTGCTTTCTGCCCTAGAATTATTTTTCCTCCAAGTTTAAATTGGGCACATATATGATAAACTTGAGAGCTTCTTTTTGTACAACTGAAATATTTTTTCAAATTTCTAGCATGATAAATCAGCTATTTTAATCAGCAATATAAGATAAGGCTTATATTCTGAGAACTCTTCACACAGCTCATATCACTGATGATGTCTTTTATTGTGCAGAACCATTCAGTATTTTTGAAACCAAAATCGATCCATTCGTAGTCAAACAGGTGCTAGACAGCTCCTGCTACATCTCCTCAAAGGACGAACTGAACATCTTCAAACATTCACACACATCTCAATGCAATGGTTACCAGCTTTCACCATAAAAAAAAAAGTATAAACAAAATGTAAAAATTAAAAAAACGACAACTACTTGTACCACTACAATGTAAAAGACAAAGACCAAAGAGCTGAGCAAACTGATCGAATGACATTTTCAACACTGGTTATGAGTCGTGCAAAACTGTGAGGTTGATGTGAATCTGTTCTGTCAGTAATACTGCATGTTGGACTACTGCATACGTGTGCATTCACATATACAGTATGTGTGAGGATGTAAACTGCAGGACTATCACAGCGGGAGTGTATGAGTTTGTCGATTCTGATATTGGCAGATTGTACATCCATCACTACTAGCATGAGTAGTCTGGAAACATGGCAAATTAATGTAGATTAAAATAAAAAACGTACATACAAAAAGATGTGTGGCAAATCAAAGAGTGCATGCACACCACACACACACACACACAAAGAGTCCAGCTTCATCGTATAAAACGACTGACACTTTCACATGAACATGTCAATAATACGACAACATCCACAGTCAGAAAGAGAAGGAAACATTACAGACATGTATAATATGATAACAGCATTACATCATTCGTAATAGTGTAAAGAAACATATAAAAATACAAAAATAGGACAGTTACAATATGAAGATATGAGATACACAGACCACAGCTGCAAACGTAACTTTAAAATCCCTTGTCTCTACTCAGGTAGTTGCCACTAATTTGTAAAACAAAACGTTTTTTTCATCATGTTGTACATACATTCTGTGGGTTTGGCCTGTTACTAAAACACACACACACACACACACACACACACACAGACAAAACACATTCTTTAACCCTTGTGTGTCCTTAAAGACATTTTTTTCTTTCATGTGATTTTTTGATCATTTTGGCTGTGTTAATGCAAACAGCATAAATGTTGAAATGTGTCAAAAATGTGTATTTTTATTGGAATTGTAGTATTTTACTCAAGGGATATAAATGAGTTACACTCAAGACCTAAAGGACATAAATGTCCCCATTGAAACCCATTAAAACAGCAATATTTAATCCCAGTGCCATTAAGCATAAAATTCTGGATTGTATTTTATTTCATTTTAGTTAAGGTTTATTTTATTTCAACTGATGAAAACATCTTTCAAATGGTTTTAGTTTTAGTAAACATAACAACCCTGATCCAATACTGTAATAATCAATATCATATGCTTAGTAAAATATATATTTTCCCTCATGAACGCCAGTGGCATTATGTAAACAAACTAGCATTCTAAGAGTTAAAATCCTGAAAATTACTACATTTTGGTAGTTATGATCAGGACAGATGCTGGAAAATGATCAATGTCAGTGAAAGCAAAACTAATATTACTATATAATATTTTTATGACCGTTTTTAACAAGGACATTTTTGTCCCCTGAGGACCTCTGTGTAGCTTTTTAAAATTGACACATCAGTTCTGGCATGAACACTGATTACTAAAATGTGCAATATGATCTTACTAAAATGATTGATTCAACTCTATTTGAGTTAAGGAACCAATATGATTCCTTGCTGCGTTTCCCATTATTTTTTCATTGTTGATTAATCATACACTCTAATATTTCAGTTTTCTCATAAGCATTGCAATAAGATGAGAATGAAATAACTACTTTCACCTGTTAGAAATGTAGAGTAACTTATGATATTTTGTGGCAATGACGTGCACACAGATTTCCAGGTTTACAGTACATGTTGTCAGAGACAAAGTAAACAGATTTAATACTATTTTGTTGTCTCTTTTTTTATCATGCTAAAATCTAATTGTACATAAAAACAGGCCAAACCACTGAAGCTTTCACACTGTCCCAAAAGCAAAACCGACATTCACACGCACGCATACAAAGTAATGATAACAAAGTCAAGTTTCTCTTCGGACTTACTCCAAATCGAGTGCTTCTACGAAACAAATACAAAGATTAAGTGATAAAAAGAATGTTGTTAAAAGAAAACATTAAGTCAGGGCTAATTTTGACTTTATGTTTCATCCCTCCGAAAAGTAAGATTCAGGAAACATTCTAAAAGTGCAATTTGTATGTTTGTTTCCATTTGAGTACCTAAAGTACACTGAGATGCTTCTGGAGTGCAGATCACAGGTATCTTGGATCCTGTGGTTCGGCTCAAAGTTAAGAGATGTTACTGAAAATGGAGGACGGACAAGGGTATACTGAGCCTTGTGCCTGGTACTTGGATGCAGGCTGTTTGGGTCAAGATTGCTTTTGTTGGGTATTAACAGGGATTTGGATTTAAGACCTTTCCAAAAGTCCAAACCTAAGGTCTTTTTTTTCTGTTTTATATGTCAGTCAGTTTAAAGGTTATCTGTGTTTAGCTTTAGCTATTTATTTTGAATCATGTCATGTTCAAGATACTGGCAAGAATTCATTTATATCATTTTCTCCCAAAAATGATGCAAGTGACAAAAACGAAGATATCGCTCTCTTTATCTCTGTATCTTTTGCTTTCTATCTAATCTCCTTCATTTTCTTCTCTGGAATCATTGATCCCCTTTAAATCTCACCATTTCTTTTACTGTGTTGGAGGCACAGGGGCGTTTGGATAGAGCGAATCCCCTGGTAGTTGAGTGCTGGATTCTGGAGTAAAAAAGATCAACCAAAAAAAATCTATTAGACAATTATACAATAGTTACATTACAAGTTATTATAAATACAAATAATATAAAATATGAATAAAAAAACTGTTGTGAGTCTGATTTTAGTAAACATTTCTAAACCAAAATACGATTTTTGAGCTATTTCAGTTCATGGCAAAATCATTCAATCACACTGAACTGTGACCAAATTTCGGATTTCATGATGATCATTCAGTAACTATTTAAATTGAATCATTGTAAGAGCAAATAGCCTACCTTTTTAAAAGATTTTCAGTCATTAATATTTTGAAAGAAATTTATACTTTAACTCAGCAAGTAAAAAGAGTTTTACAGTGTTGCAGAAAAGTTCTAATTTAAATAAATGCTATTCTTTTGAAC